CATCATTCTAACAATCAAAATAACACAAAACTAAACTAAATAACATGGTTTTGCAATCTAACCTCTTTTAAATAACGATTCCCACGTATCTAGCGGTAAGGTTGTATCAAAAGCTCCAATTCGCCAACCAAGAGCTGCAGAAATAGAAAATCCAATTCAGTTCTCGAATGAGAACTGTCTGATTTTTTTTTCCTTTTATAGCACGCTAAACTCGGATTTTCGAAATTTGAATCTATAAGTAACTCGGATTCCCTAAATCCGAATCACCGTATACTCGGATTTCTGAAATCCGAGTTTGGTCAATTCTGGATTTTTTATTCCAGTTTTTGGTCCTCCAATTTATGGCAGATGCCTATTTCCACCAACAAAAATTAAAAGCCTTTAGATTTCCAAAATCCGAATATCTGTATCCGGATTACGGAATTTCAGCTTTTTGGATTCAAAAATTTCATACTTCAATTTTCTTCTTTTTTTTTAAGGAATTCGGATTTTGTAAATCTGAATGGAACTATTTATTTAAGGAGTCCAGGACTCCTTATTTGAGTTCAAAAATTTCACACCTCAATTTGCCTTTTTTTTTTGGAATTCGGATTTTCAAAATCCGAATGATACTGTTCATTTTCTGATTTTTTTTATTATAATTCCACAAAATGTATATAATTATTATTTTAATATTATATATGTTCGAATTTCTGAAATCCGAAGGTTTAATTTTGATTAACACTTGGATTTCAGAAATTCGTGGGGGATTTCAGAAATCCGTGGGATATATATATGTCCACAGATATTCTTAAAAATTTAAATTTGTACACCTTTATTTTAATCAATTTTTTTTTAAGAGAAAAGACCCCTTTTTCACGCTTATCCAGCACTTAGTTGAATTTCACATCATTTTGCACCTCGTTTCAGTTCAACTTTTAATTGTTATTTATGAGTTTATTTTAGATTTTCTAACAAGGAAAATTCCTATGTGATGTGAGCTTGTTGCCATTCTTTCAAAGATGGCAAAGCTGAAGTTTTTCAATTTCAAAGTACTGATGTTTCTGTGGTGGTTGTTGTTGTTGTTCTAAAGTAACTCATAAAATGAACTGTATTTTGGAACGAAAGAAGTAATACTTGAAGTTGAGGATGCCTAATATATTATATTAATGATTTAAACGAGCTGGGGGCTCGCTAACAAGAGTACAACAAGACTGAGCAAATTGTGTGCTTAGATTGGTTGGTGATATAAATTATTCTACATTAAAATTGTGTTTGTCCTTTGTTCAATGAAAGCAGCTCTTTGAACGATACTTTGACGAGGTCATTAATTACTTTTTTTTTTTCCCTTTTTTTTTCTTTTTTAAATCATCGTTCATCACTGTTATAAAGGCATAAACTAATCAATTTAACAAAGATGTTATTTCCCGCCACTGAATGTAGAACTTCCTCCGTGCATAACTATAGACTAATTCGGAAATTTAACTGTATGAAACTTGTATAATTTTGCATTAATGATAAAATTGATAAATGGACACGGTCTTGTACTCCCTCGGTACCAAAATTGTTGTCTAGTTTAAATTTTCATCTCTTGTTCAAATTATACTAAAACTGAAAATGCAAACTGGACAATAATTTTGGGACGAATGAACTATCGTATTACAACTGATTATTCCTTTTTTCTTTTAATTTCCGAAAAAAAAGAAATTATCCTTTTTTCTTAGTCTAAAATTGAAATCATAGGCTAAAAATTGTGGAATACCCTTTTAGCTGGGAAGGTATAACGATAGGAAATTTTTCTTGTTGGCCGGGTGAATATACGAGGATATTATCGAAAAGGAAGAGTGGCCAATTTGAGTATATGAGCCAATTGCTAGAAAGCAATCAAATTTCAAAAGAGATGCCTTTCTAAATAAATACTTTTTTTAAAAATGCACATTTTTTAATCGAGAAAATGGAGTTAACGATGCATGATTTAGAACAATAAATGGTTCCTTATCAAGAAAATAAAAAATATGCGAATTTTTTCAAATTTTTTGTTTAAGTTCACCAATTCCTTTTCCCTATGTGAGCCCGGCAAATTAAATAAAAAATTGGAATGACAATTTGTATATACTCAAATGTGAAAATTTCATCCATTGGTCTAAAATTTGCCAACCAATGAAATATCAAAAAGTGAGGAACCAGAAATTGACCCTATTGTACACTGTACTATTTATTTGGGATTTTGCGTGGGAAAGGAAAATATTAAGAAATAATAATTATGAAAGATGCATGGAAATTCTTCTTCTTCTTCTTCTTCAAATAATAATAATAATAATAATAATAATAATAATAATAATAATAATAATAAGTAAACTTATTTTAAGCACAAAAATTTAATCACAAGGGTAGAGATAAAAGGTTGGCAAAAAAAGATTTCTATAGCTGTTCGTGGGAAAAATTGGCCGATCTATCCTAACCTTTATATGCATTGTCAATTTTAAAAAAAAGATGGAGTCCAGTACTGAAATAGATTTTTTTTTATATTATTTTGCTTTAAAAAAAAAGACTTTCTGCTAAAGTTAGATATATTAATATTTCAAAAAATTATCGCAAAATGTTAAACACTCGCAATGATAAATATAAATGTTTTTTTAATAAAATATTTTGTACCATTTTTATAAATGCCATGACTATATTCTTGTGTTGGGCCAATGTAGAAATGAAATAGGTATTTTTTTTTTTTTTTTACTTTTTTTTTCGTACTTGGCCTTTTACAGAAAAGTTTATATTTTAGTTTTAATTATTTTTTAAATTTTATGATACAATCTAAGGTCTGTTGAATTAAATTGTAATACATTAAAGTATACCAATAAATTCTTTTTTAATCTATGCTAAATGTGTTATTTTTTTGTGCAAAATTAATTTTAGTTAAATAATCTTATTCTTTAGATTGAAAAAAATAGATTAAAAAAATAATATCATTTCTGTTAAATCATATTATTAAAAAAATAATATGTCTCTGTAAATTAAACATGACTTACAAATATCAAATTATAAATTTGTACATTAGAGTTTAAAAAGAAATTGTTTTTTTTAAAAAAATCATATAGTATATTTTTATAGTTATGAAAATATTAAAAAGAAATAAAAAATAAAAAAAAATTAAACAAAAACTGAAAAGAGACTGTTTTATAATTTTTATAAATTTTTGGGGTCATTTATAATTTTTAAAATTATTAGGGTATTTTTGTAATTAAAAAAATAAAATTCCATTAAATTAAACGGAAAAGAGCAAATTGGACAAAATCGGCTAACGGTTAGATAGCTTAGGGTAATATTGACTAATCGAAAAAGAATAAGATAGAATTGATAATGCATGTAAAGTTTAGGGTAGATTGGCCAATTTTTCCGCTGTTCGTATCACATATTTTCCCCCCTTGACTAGAGAGTATCCGATCACACGAAAACATTCCTTTTTTTTTTTTTTTTAATCTTTTCAATTTGACCATTAGCAAAATGAATATTCTCTGAGATTCCCCACCCTGTATATAATCTCTTTAAACAATACAGCAGTTGGATCTGGGCCTCTCGATCAGGCTATTAAGAAAAAGAAAAAAAAAAAAAAAGAAGAAAAGAAGTCATTCACATTTTAATCTACCATTAAGAAAGAAATGTAAGTACAATTATGGGATTTATATCTTCCAATGGTTATACTATTTGCTGTACTATTAATACAATAAAAGTTCTAATCATGTTGTGTTACAACCGGTGAAGGTAAAACTAGATATGAATTAAATTACGAGAATTAAAGAAAAGAAAGAGTGACCATCATTATCAATAGTTAATTACGGTAATATATATTCACTATTTGGTACGATCTTTCACGTCTTCTCTGTCACAATTGATATCCTTACTAGTGATGTTACGTATTATATATCTGTTTTATTGATATTCTCCATTTTGTCTTTTTTGTTTCATCAAGTGCTTCTGAAGATTACATAATTGAAGTCGTGAATAAGTACCATTAGTTTCTCTTCTCCATTTAGTACTTTTTCGAAAAGTTCCAAATTAGTCCAAAAAATTCCACACGATCAAGCGAAATGGTCAGGAAAATTTGAAATAATCGTGTTTCATACTAATTTTAAGGGGAAATCGTAGTCAGAAAGGAACAATGACAGTATTAATTTAGTGGAAATGCCCGATTTTATTAATTGAAAAATGCAAGTAAAACTTGATCTATAAGAAGGATTGCATGTCTTACAAGAAGTTAATAATGGCAATTAGTAAATACTCTCTCTATCCTTATTATAAGACATTTTGATTTGTCCTAATTTTCATCTAGAATATTTTTTTATTTAAATAAAAACTTTAAAATATTTCCTAATAATTAGAAGAACACAATGAATGTGAAAATATATTTTTAAGGTTTTTTTTTTCTAATAAAAAGACATCCTAAGTGAAACCTAAAACAAAATCAAAATGTCTTATAATAAAGACCAAGGGGAGTAATAGATAATGAAATTAGATTGTTTGACCGTTCTTTTTATATTTAAGATACACCTGTAAATATGATTGATAAAAAATATTTTCAAACAATGTAAATTTTCGTAAACTCAAATAAGAAGAAAACTCAAAACTAATTATACATGCAACCAAGTAGGATTGTAAAACCACACAGGAAGAAAGTTACCGCTAAACAACTTCAATGTTCTTGATTAGCCTTCAAACTATTATTATTATTATTTTCATTATTTAGAAAAAAAAATGCTGGAAGAAGTCAAAAAAATAAAAATATATCGTAGCCAGCCATCATTCCAGAATACCGAAAGGGACAGATGGAACCTGCTTCGAAAGAGAAATGCATGAACAGAATAATTTATTTGAATTTTCCTAATTGCTCTATGTTAAAAATCGTTTTTTGGCATCAAAGAATATTGACAACACTTTCATCGATTTTACCGAACAAGAAAAAGTGTTAATGTGTTATATATATGTGGCTTTGCTAGTTCAATTGTTCTTTCAAGAGCCTCATCCAAAAAAATTTTTAGAGAAAAAAAAAAAGAGGGCAAAAAAAAAAAAAAAGAAGTTTAAGAATATGGTTCCAGGTCCTCTTACCTTTGATGACTTGTATAATGATGAAGAATGCAATTTTGGGATAACCCCATCTGGCGTTATTGATCCAAATGTTAATTTTAGAACATCATTTGGACGAATCCCTCATCATTTCATGGCCAATTTAGACAATGGTTGTAATGGATCATGGTTTCCAACTTTATCTGATGAAAATGGTGGCGAATGCAAGAGGCTGAAAAGAACTGTCAGCATGTTTGATTATAACTCTCTTCTTCATGAATACAACAGGCATTCGGGTTCCGGGAATGGTGGAATCTACCGTGCGAATAGTACTAACAGCGTTAACACGTTGCCGCGCCTTCATTTCCGCGATCACATTTGGACTTATACTCAGAGGTATCTTGCTGCTGAGGCTATTGAGAATGCTATCAATCATGGTTCTGAGGTTTGTGGTGGAAATGAAGATGAGGAGAATGGAAATGGGATGAAGTTAGTCCAGCTGCTGATTTCTTGCGCCGAGGCCGTGGCTTGTCGCGACAAGAGTCATGCTTCTGTTCTGTTATCTGATCTCAGGGCTAAGGCTTTGGTGTTTGGTTCTTCTTTTCAACGTGTGGCGTCCTGTTTCGTGCAAGGGCTCGAGGATCGCCTTGCGCTTGTTCAACCACTAGGGACTGTTGGTTATGTTGCTCCCAAAATGAATATAATGGATGTGAATTCAGATAAAAGGGAGGAAGCGTTACACCTTGTTTACGAAATCTGCCCTTATTTGCAGTTTGGTCATTTTGTTGCTAATAACACTATATTGGAAGCCTTTGAGGGAGAGACATTTGTCCATGTGGTGGACTTAGGTATGAGTCTTGGTTTGAAACACGGTCACCAATGGCGCAGGCTGATACAAAGCCTCGCCAATCGTCAAGGTCAACCTCCTAAACGCCTTAGGATCACCGCGGTTGGCCTCTGTGTGGATAGGTTTCGGATCATAGGTGATGAGCTTGAGGCCTATGCTGAGAGTTTTGGAATGAATTTGGAGTTCTCAAAGGTGGAAAGCAACTTGGAAAACCTGAAGCCTGAAGATATCAAAGTGTTTGATGGTGAAGTCCTTGTGGTTAATAGCATCCTTCAGCTGCATTGTGTGGTGAAAGAGAGTAGAGGGGCTCTCAACTCAGTTTTGCAGACGATTCATGAACTTTCTCCCAAAGTTTTGGTTCTTGTTGAGCAGGATTCGAGTCACAATGGACCCTTTTTCCTTGGGAGGTTCATGGAAGCCCTGCACTATTACTCTGCAATTTTCGACTCCCTTGATGCAATGCTGCCTAAATACGACACTAGGCGCGCGAAAATGGAGCAGTTTTACTTTGCAGAGGAGATCAAGAACATCGTGAGTTGTGAAGGCCCCGCGAGGCTGGAAAGGCATGAGAGGGTGGATCAGTGGAGAAGGAGGATGAGCCGCGCTGGATTTCAGGCTGCGCCGATTAAGATGATCGCGCAGGCGAAGCAGTGGTTGGGAAAGATTACTGCATGTGAAGGTTACACCATTGTAGAGGAGAAAGGTTGCTTGGTGCTTGGATGGAATTCTAAGCCAATCATAGCAACTTCTTGCTGGAAATGCTGAATCTCTTAACCTCCCAATCCAGAAAATCGAACTTAAGTTTGATGCGCGCAATCTGGCTGGATGGTTTTCCAATAAACAATAAGTGATCATCTGCTGCATTATTCAAGTGGAACTAAATCAATAGATTCCATTATTTGGCTTTAGAATGGTTGACCTCGTTGAGTTTCTTTTGAGAAAATGGAATAAATTGGTAGACATTTGAAGTTGAAGAACATTCTGACTGGTTGTTTCATATGTAAAGATAGACATTTGTGATTCTTTTTTATGGCCAAAATGGCCTTAGTTAGATTATTGTTTCTTTTCTTAGGCCATGTCAGTTTAATGATGTAGAAAAAGGCCTGTCAATTTCAGGGTGTAAGATGTTGTTGCAAGTCTGCAACAACTATTTCAGTAGCAATTGATTCTTTGTAGTTTCTGGTTAATGTTCATCTACAATATGATTCCTCTCTAAAATCAACGCTTAAATCTTTTAATTTTTTCTTTTACAGGAATCAAATTCTATATTCCTTTTACATTCTAAAGACAAAAATTTAAAACAAAAACGCTATTCATAAAAAAAAATTTTCTCGCCCTTTTACCCTTTTAGAGTTTAGCCACGTTACTTAGGATTTTATAGGTGTTTAATCCGATTTCGTCTTTATAAGACTGTGATCCAATAAAAGACAATTTGCACACGAACCATTCTCAATCAATTATTTCGAACAAGAATTTGAGGCTGTATCCAGTATACCCGGGGGCACCGTGTTCCCCTCCTATTTTTTATATTTTTAGTCCTTATTGTAATTTTTTCTCAATCTTTTTATATTTTACACGTTTAGTCTCTGTGAGTTTTTTTTTCTCTCTTCCAAAAAAAAATCCCTAATCTTTAAACGAGCAAATCTCCCAATCCGTGAAGAATTTGTGAACAAATTATATATGAAATTTATAGTACTCGTCGAGATCTATCCAACAAAATCTATAGTGAATATTTTTTCGGGCTTAAAAATCACTTAATTCTGATGGACAGAATAGGGGTGGATATCCAGTTTTACAAGATGGATAACCAACTTGTTCTAAATTGGTTATCCATCGTGTTCATGCTGATTATCCAATCAGTTTAAACTGGTTATCCATTTTGTTTCTACTGCTTATCCATTTGGTTATCCAACTTCTTAATTCAAAATAAGTTGGTTATCCATTTTCTTAAACTGGATATCCAATGTGTTCATATCGATTATCCAATGCGCTAATACTGGTTATCCAATGGACTTACATGCTTATCCAAATTATTTGTACTGGTTATCCACTGTGTTCATGCTGATTATCCAACTTGTTTGTACTGGATATCCATCTATTTGGTTTGTATGCATATCCAACTCTAATATTTCAACGAGCATATCTCCCAATCCGTGAAGAATTTGTGAACGAATTACATATGAAATTTATAGTACTCGTCGAAATCTATCCAACAAAACCCACAGTGAACATTTTTTCGGGCTTAAAAATGACTTAATTCTGACGGGCAGAATAGAGGTGGTTATCCATCTTTTTTTTGAAGAGTGAATGTCAAATATATGATTGGATAACAAGTACGAACATAATGGATAATCACTCCAAACCGATTGGATAATTAGAATGAACACAACGGATAACCATTTTTCAAAGAAAAACGAAAAACACATTTCTTCATTTCTGCCCGTAAAATTTAAATGCATTTAAAGTTCAAAAAAAAATATTCAACATTGATCTTATCGGATAGATCTCGTCGAGCACTATAAATTTCATATATAATTCGTGTTATAATTCTTTACAAATCAAAAGATACAAGGAACACAACGATATGCATGTAAAATAAGTTAGTTATCCATCTTCTTAAACTGGTTATCCACTGTATTCATGTTGGTTATCCAACTTATTTGTACTGGATATCCATCCATTTGGTTTGTATGCATATCCAACTCTAATCTTTCAACGAGCATATCTCCCAATCCGTGAAGAATTTGTGAACAAATTATAGATGAAATTTATAGTACTCGTTGAGATCTACCCAACGAAATCCACGATGAACATCTTTTCGGGCTTAAAAATGACTTAATTCTGACGGCCAGAATAGAATAGAGGTGAATATCCATCTTTTTTTTTTTTGAAGAGTAAATGTCAAACATATGATTAGATAACAAGTACGAACATAATGGATAATCAGTCCAAACCGATTGGATAACCATTTTTTAAAGAAAAACGAAAAACACATTTCTTCATTTTCTGCCCGTAAAATCTAAATGCATTTAAAGTTCAAAAAAAATATTCAACATGGATCTTATCGGATAGATCTCGTCGAGTACTATAAATTTCATATATAATTCGTGTTTATAATTCTTTACGGATCAAAAGATACAAGGAAAAGAATAATATGAATGTAAAATAAGTTGGTTATCCATCTTGATTATTTTTTAATACTGTTTATCCAACTAATTAGTATTATTTATCCAACCTGGTTTTTTTTAATTATTTTTTTAAAAAATAATAAACTAAGTTGGTTATCCAACTCGTTTGTATTGGTTATCCAATCATTGGTTTGTATTGGATTATCCAATGCGCTAATGCTGGTTATCCAATGGATTTACATGGTTATCCAAATTGTTTGAACTAGTTATCCACTTTGTTCATACTGGTTATCCAACTCGTGCATACTGGTTATCCAACTTACTGGATATCTAACTTAATTCTGCCCAAAGAAATTTGATCATTTTTAAACTCAAAAAAAATATTCGAAATGGATCTTGTTGAATAGATCTCGATGAGTACTATAATTTTCATGTATAATTCGTTCACAAATTCTTCACGGATTGGGAGATATGGTCGTTGAAAGATTGAATATTTTTTTTTTGAAAGAGAGAAAAAATGACAGGGACTATCCTTGCAAATCATAGAAAGATTGATGAAAAATACAATAAGGACTACTCGTACAAAAAATAGGAGGGGGGGCACGGTACCCCCGGGTATACTGGATAATTTGCCCAAGAATATTATATATTAAATTAGGACATGTATGGACATAAAAATATTCGTTTTTTCATTGTTTCATTGACCCTTATAAAATCGGTAACTAACTGAACAGAAATTCATGTTCCAATCATCCAATTATCATTTTGAAACGAGATTCTAACGCCACAAAACATATTTACAATCTTAGGGGCCTTTTGCATCAAAAGTATAATTTTGGGGTTGTTTTAAGATTAACTATACTTCCGTTATTTATTCAATTTCCCCCTCTTTTTTAAGCTATCTATTTCGAGACAGAGGGAAGAAAAAAACAGAAAAAAAGATGGAGACTTTGGCCGTAGCGTTAGGTGGAGCTTGCCCTCGTGTTTCTTCCTCTCAATCCCATCCATCGTCATCTTCTTCTTCTTCCTTCTGCTCGCTAACCGCTAGAAATGCCGGCAGTTTATCTTATGGGCCGTCGAAAACCACTCTCCACCGCCACTTAGCAGCATTTCAGCCACCATCCCATCTGTTCTCATGCATCAAATCATCCCCTCATTCTCCGAGGAACTCCCGGAAAGCCCACATCTTTCTGCCTCACTTAGTTGCTTCACTGGTAAACATTTACTGTTCGTCTTCTAATTTTTGTTTTTTGAATTCTCTCTGGACTTTGGAATTTCGAATTATTTGAATTGGAGGAGTACTCAGTTGGGAATTTTGGGTTTTTTTGTTGTGTTGTTTTGCTATGCAGGAAGTGGAGCAGAGTTACATTATGATAAAGCCAGATGGTGTTCAACGTGGACTTGTAAGATCTTTTGTTTTACTTTCTTGTCTTTTGTTAATTAATGTGTAGCTAAAGCTTGGTTCTTCATTTGTTCTGGAAATGACTTCTGGTGTTGAGTATTTGTTTTCTGTTTAGGTTGGGGAGATAATTTCGAGGTTTGAGAAAAAGGGGTTTAAGCTGACAGGATTGAAGCTGTTTCAATGCCCCCAAGAGCTGGCTGAGGTTTGTTTACTGGAACTTTACCTTGTATTTAGTTGTTTTTTTGGAACTATGTTTTGTCAAGATACAATCTCTGGCATTTATAATGGTCCCCTTTGGATCTTTACCTTGTATTGAAGTTTTTTTGGAAGTATGTTTTGTCAAGATACAATCTGTGGCATTTATAATTATCCGCACTGTGTGAATTGTAATTTGGCATTCGATTGCTAGATTTCTCTATTGGCAATATTTTAGCTTTTAGAGTTTGGTTGATTGCTCCATTTTCGTGTCATTGATTGTCTCCTTGGACATGGTACATTTGACTATGGACAAGTGTTTCATGCATCTTAGCTTCTTTCTGTATTTTTTTCCCCTGCGGTGCTTACAAGTTGAGTGTATTACATCATCAATACTTTTTACTACGATTATTAACTTTTTGCTGATGACGTTGTAGGAACATTATAAGGATCTGCAGTCTAAGCCATTCTTCCCGAAGTTAATTCAATACATTACTTCGGGTCCTGTCGTGTGTATGGTATGTTTATACTCTGAATTTAATGGAGATAATGAAAGTCACCTATGATATATGATTATTTCTGACCAACATGGCATTGTTGACCAGGCATGGGAAGGTGTTGGTGTGGTCGCATCCGCTCGTAAACTAATAGGAGCGACAAATCCTCTTCAAGCTGAACCGGGCACCATCAGAGGAGATCTTGCTGTCCAAACTGGAAGGTTGGGTCACTAGGCTTTCTGTCTTAATGTGATGTGCTTGGTCTATATTGGCTATTTTTATTACGGGTTCTCAGTATTTCTTCTCTTGGCAGGAATGTTATTCATGGTAGTGATAGTCCTGAGAACGGCAAGCGCGAAATAGGTAACCTCTGCTGCATACTTTGACTTTATGGATCTATTCGTGTATAGTGCTTGGAGATCAAATTTATTCTGTCTCAAGCTTTCTGTGTTCATTGACACACTTACATTCACACTGTATCACTTATTGACTTATGATCAAAGGAGAATTTGTATTTAAAATAAAGCTGATCTAAATTAGTATGTTATCAGTAGTTTCAGATTGCAACCAGTGCCATTCTGTCGCCAAGCTTTCTGTGTTCATTGACACACTTACATTTTCACTGTATCATTTATTGACTTATGGTCAAAGGAGAATTTGCATTCATAATAAAGCTGATCTAAATTAGCATGCATATCAGTAGTTTTAGACAGTGTCATTCTGTCGCCACACCCATTTTAACTAATAATGAAAAGGAATGAGAAAGAAATCTATCCTTTGGAATGAATATATGTGAGGAGAAACAACACACTCTATACAGCATTGTATACTTGGCTCCTACGGGTTTGCTTGTGGTTGTACTTCCTCTTTGAAAGTTCATTTAGCTTAAATAACATATTAAATTTGTTGTGTGACAACTATTTTGGTAAAAGAACCTTAGTATAGACTCGATTTTCGAGCACACATTATCTAGAGATATACTTCATTGAGAACCTTGTGATCCCTCAATGCTGATGACTAAATTAGTAAATCCTATATTTGATTCGAAAGAATGAGGTTGATTCTACCATTAAGTTCTCATGAATCATTCCTAGACAAGTAGAATTTGTGATAAACGGTTTAAGAGTGATTGGGATTCGTTTCCTTTGAAGTTTGATCTGACTTTCTAACTCTCCTGTTCTACGGCTGGTTGCCTTGCTGCTACTTTAAAAGATTCGCTGAACATAAAATAGATGATTTATGGTTTGTATTTTTTGAGGTTTTAAAACCAAGTACCTATCTGTTCCTAAAGTCTTCGACTAACATCAAGGGCCACCAATTTTTAGTTTTTTTTTAATGAAAGTCTTTGTAGCCTATTGACATATGAATTTCTTCACATTGCAGATCTCTGGTTTAAAGAAGGTGAGCTATGTGATTGGACCCCAGTCCAAGAGCCATGGCTAAAGGAATAAATTTTCCGCCGCCTCAAGCCGTATAAATTCTAAGTGTTAGAGAGTTTGTCCCCGGCTACTGATAGAAGACACTCATCCAATTTTCTACTACTACTAATGTAGTGTGATACCACATAACTTGTCATTTTAATCCGGTACATGGTTTCCATCTGTATGTGTTGAACAGGGAGAAACAAAAGGATTGCAAGTTTTGCTTTTGGTAATCTCTGCACCTTTGTGAGCTTTTTTCTCTAAAATGGTTGTGGAAAAAATAACCTAAATCACTTTAACGGGAGACCATTCACCATAAAAGTGGATTTGTGTGAATCAATACCTAACTCCAAAAAGCCTATTCTGAAGCTACCAACAGAAGTAGTCAATTGGAGAGTGGTTATGAAGGTAGATCTCCCTTGCAAACCATTGATTCATTTTCTATGCTGGGTAACTCCCTCGAAACAGACTATTATCTAAAGAACTTTTGCTCAAAAAATCGCGCAGAGTTCAAGTTCCGGCAACGTGCATGAAGGTGATGACAAGTCCAAATGTTAAAGACTAAAGATTATATGACTAACATTGTATCATTGGATATGGAAAATTAAGATGATGATCATGATTATATACCGACTGAACCTTGAACTTGGAAACCCACAGAAGTAATGTCTTCAAACATGTTGCAACCAAGCTAATCTTCTTTCAGCCTTAAAGACTTAAAAGCCTTACCCGGCATTCCAATCCTCAAACAAATCAAGAGCAAACGAAAAAAAGACGCATTGATGAAGGCCCTGCAATTTTTTTCGAAACTTCAACTTTATTGTTACCGACCTTACTATTTCTCTTGTGACGATGATCTTGTTAAGTCAAGTTTATATGGATAATAAATTTCCTAAATTGTTGAATGTCATAATCTGTATTAAAATATAGGGATAAAACTGCATACATCTTGACCTCCCAGACTCCGATCGAGTTGGAAATATACTAGGTAAGTTGTTATTGTTGTTAAATGCCATAATCAAATTATATTGATCTTTCTTATGAAACTTTGTGCGTCATGTTTTCGTCATATTTTCTAAGTCAACAAAAAAGTTGACAAACTGAAAACTTTTAATTAAATTATGTGGATCTTTCGTTCACATATTTTTTTCCCAACAAAAACGTTTTATGAAACTTTTTGACCCGACTTTGGAGTTTCTTACTTTCACGTAATTTCATGTATATATACATTACTATTAAATTTTTTTTAGATATTTTATTATTATTATTAATATTAAGATATTATATACACTCTGTTACGAGGGGGATTAGTCACCGTTGCTGACGATGGATATCTTGCAAATATGAAAAAAAAAAAAAAGGAAAGATATTATGTACATATGACAGTGTTAAAGACTTATCTGAAGGAAAAGAGGCTAGGACATGGATTTTTCAAAAAATCTCATATCAGTTTCAATGAAAAACAATATCTAAAAAACTATCTTATAAATATTTTGCTAAAAATCCCTTTGACAGTTCTTTAAAACCAAAAGTAAGATAAATTTCTAACTATTACATTGGGACCTTATTCTTTTCTTTTCGATTCCAAAGGGAGATAATTACAGCTCCGATACTATTACATTTATCGGGTGTGCCACCCCGATGTGGAATAGCCAGTTTCTAACCCTTGATGGTGGGAAATCCATCCTATGTAGTCCCGGAGGATTTGACACTGCCAAGGCGGCCATATAGTCGGCTGCAAAATTCTTTTCACGATGCACATGTGCTAACTTCACTTCCCAGCTTCTGCTCATGAGTTCCTTGATGGCATGCAAAATTTCCAAATGCACTCCCGAATTCGGCTCCTTTGCTAGCACTAGCCTTACTACACTTTCATTATCCACCTCCGCCTCTAGCTTCCTATACCCCTTGTCCCATGCTAGTTGCAGGCCTTGCAAAAGTCCCCAAATCTCTGCCCCCGCAATTGAGCAGTACCCAATGTTCATTGAAAAGCCACCGCACCACCCTCCAGTGCAGTCCCTCAACAAGCCACCAACAGTTGCCCATCCGGTGTTAGTATTCAGGGCACCATCAGTGTTTAATTTAATCCATTCTGTCGGTGGAGGTGACCATGCCAGCAACCGCCATTCCCTTGTCACCGGTATTGCCCCTACCATCTTCAAGCTTTCTTGGCCTCAATCACATCAGATACTTTCTGTGTAATTTCCTTCATCGATTGCCACAATGAGACCTCCTTCCCTTCAAAAAGTGCCATATTTCTCCACCTCCAGATCCACCATGCCATAACCCCAAACAATATGGGCCAATTCTTCCCACCGCTACCTCTCCAATTGGCCAAATTTTCCATCAGCCACTCCTTGCATTCCGGGCTATTAAAAGCCCTCCATTCAGCCGCCGGCACCAATGATTTCCAGACTACAGCCGCTTTCAGACAATCCCTCAGCACGTGCAGCGTTGATTCCTCCACATCCCCACACCGCCCACAGGAACGGTCCATCGTTAAATGCCTCCGACCCCTTTCCACATTGGTTAGTAACCGCTGGTTACTCGCGAGCCACAAGAAGTGGCGGATCCGATGCGGGCCGCCCCATTGCCAAACCAACTTCCAAATGGGATCTTTGAGTTGAGTGTGCCGTTCAGAGGTAACCTCATAGGCAGATTTAATTGAGAAATCTCCCCCACTTGAAGGTCCCCAAAACAGAATATCTTCTCCTCTCTCCGGTGCCGGCGGAGGGATTGATAGTATTTTAAACACCGACGATGCTGGAAGAAGGTGTTGAAACAGAGGCCAATTCCAACTGCCCTCGTCAGTTACGAACTTATCAATCTTCCACTCCAGTTGATCCACTGGGATAGGCCCAGTTGCTTGTTGAAGGAGAGGGACCGATCCATGACCCAGTTATCCTTCTAGAAGCTGGTCCTCTTACGATCATTGACTACCCATCTACACGCCTTGAACATAATGGGCCATGCCTTCGCGATTGCCTTATAACAAGGGGAGCTTTTGGGCTTGGTTGGAAGTTGATAACCCACTCCTTCTTCCAGGCCATATTTATCCCTCATGACCCTTGTCAAGAGAGCTTCTTTATTTGTTACAATCTGCCAGCCCAACTTTAGGATGAAGGCCCAATTCATTTGCCTTTGATTTCTAAAACCCAATCCCCCAAACTCCTTCTTCTCACAGACTTTTTTCCACGGGACGAGACTCAGCTTCCTGGTGTTGTCTCCACCACCCCATATGAAACGCCGGCAAAGCTTCTCCATCTCGTCACAAAGTGATACTGGCAAAAGCGACGATTGGATGGCATAATATGGCAAGGTTGTAAGTACAGACTGTGCCAACGTTACTCTTCTGGCAAAGCTCAACGTGGATGCTGCCCACCCACTTAGCCGCTTCCTGGCCTTATCAAGTATGGACCCATACGTTTTTTTTGTTATTCTACCATGCAACAGTTGCATCCCCAAGTAAACCCCCAAATCAGCAACTATCTCAAATCCCATGGATTGTGCAAGAGAAAGCCCATGATCATGCTCCACCGACTTAGAGAAAATTACCTTCGACTTCGTGGAGCTAATTTTCATACCCAAAGCCATACAAAAATCCTGCAAGACTTGCTTTACCAACACAGCTTGGTCATCCGTTGCCTCTAAGAAGAGGAAAAATGTCATTTGCAAAAAATAAATAGGGGACTATTGTGCCATCCTTACCAAATCTTACCAGCCTCCATGCATTGGAATTCACTTTCTGCATGATTCCATGAGCTAATCTTCCGATGCACAAGACAAAAAGGTAGGGGGAGATGGGATCTCCTTGCCTTAGTCCTCTTGATGGGGTGAATTCACTCGACACATCTCCATTCCACATCACGTGCATTGTTCGTGACGTGACACAACTCATAATTGCTTTCACAATCCAATGTGGCAGCCTAGCAATAATAAGAGTTTCTTCAATAAATTCCCACCTAAGCATATCGTATGCTTTCTCCAAGTCAATTTTTAGGGCCATGAACCTTTTTTTCCCTTGTGAGGTTCTCATGGAGTGGACAATTTCTTGGGCAATAACTATGTTCTCCGTAATATGTCTCCCCGGTACAAAGCTTGTTTGTGCCGGACCAACTAGCTCTTTGAGAATAGGCTTGATCCGATTAGCCAATACTTTTGTGGCCACTTTGTATACCACATTGCAAAGGCTAATGGGTCTCAACGCCTTTATTGTTTCCGGATTCTCAACTTTGGGGATGAGCACAATAAGTGTTCTGTTTAACTCTTTAGGCACACCTACTCCTCCCAAAATGCTTTTCACAGTTCGACACACAGTCCCCCCTACTACCTTCCAGTGTCTTTGAAAAAAGATTGCATGCAGACCATCTAACCCCGGTGCCTTATGGTGCCATTTCGCATAGAGCTTTGTGGATTTCATCATCGGTGACTGGCCAGTTCAAAATTGCACATTGTCCCTCTCTCAGATTCGGGAATAGACTTTGGCCAGCATACCGTTGAATTGGTTCAACTCTTGCATCATACACACTTTTGATGAAGTTTGTGGCCATCTCTTGGAGTTCCTGTTGATCCTCTATCAACCTTCCATTATCATCCCTTAAAGCCAGAATTGAATTTCTTCTTTTTCTTGCTTTAACAAACCCATGATAAACCTTGTGTTCCGATCCCCATTAGAGTTCCAGTCCATTTTGGACTTCTGTATCCACAAAATCTCTTCCTGTGCAAAAATCGACTCCAACTCCTCGCACAGCTCCTTCTCCAGTCTATCCCATTTTGCAGTCCCATGCTTTTCCCTGGCCCTCTGGGTACCTTTGAGTCTTACTAAAGCCCTTTTCTTTCGTTTGAAAATATTCCCAAAGACATTCTCATTCCAATCCGTTGCAGCCGCTGCAAACAACTCCGCTGCCTGTCGAAAATCCGTGTCTGCATCCCAACTCTGGCCCACAAAATCATCAAAACCTTCATGTGTCATCCATGAGGCCATAAATTTAAATATCTTTTTTCTTGGACTCCTCTGCTCACCGGACCTGAGACGAACCAACAATGGATTGTGGTCTGATCTCATTTTCGACAGGTGAATAGTCAAAGATCCTGGGAAATCATCCGACCATTTCTCATTACATATGAAACGGTCGAGCCTTCTCTCCAAATTCCCCCTCTTCCACGTAAATCTGATTCCATCAGTGGGCAGTTCATGCAACTGATTATCAAACAACCATTCTGCAAACTCCAAGCATACAATGTTCCTGCTATTCGATCCTCCCAGTGATTCCTCATCATACAAAATACTATTATAATCTCCTCCCACCAGCCATGGCCACTCCATTCTTTCATACAATTGATCCCACAATGCCCTCCTTAGCAGCCTATTGGGGCTGCCATAGATGATGGTAACAAACATCTCTTTACCCCCAGCAATAATTTTGGTGTGTACATATTGGCTGTGACAAGCCAGCACCTCCACCTCAACACAATCCACCCATATACCACCCGAGAATCCCCTGGCCTTAACTCGAAACGATCGATCAAACTTGGTTCTTCTGATAAAAGTATCTGCATCCTTCCCGCTAATTCGGGGTTCAAGCACCGCCACTACTTGTGGCCTATGTTGGGTTATGAACTGTGAGAAAGCACTAAAGAACTTTTTTGATCCAGCACCATGGACATTCCATGTCATAACGCTAAAATTCATAATAAACATATTTACAGAATGAGGGAGAACCTGCTACTTATCGCAATTCAGGAGCATCGTTCCCAATTCGCAATCATCATCAAAAGCTACACCCGGTGGGACTTTCTCACTGGAGCCCTGCACCACTTCCATCATTATTGCACCACCAGGAGGTTCCTTCACGATGCTCTCCAATCCTGATAGTTCTGCTACTGCGACCTCATCATCACAATCCATCCCCATAGTATCTAGCTTTGATGTGGATGGATGTTTGATAATCACTGCTTGATGTTTCCCCTCATCCAGTTCTGATTGAACTCGAATGGCATTAGGAAAGGGCTAGGAATTGGGTGGAGTAAATTGAGTTGGGGGAGAAGGTTGGTGTATGTGGGCTTTGTCCTGGGTGACGGTTTGGGTTTGATTATGTGTTTGTGTGGTATGATTGCTGCATATCGGTGTCTCCTAGCTCCTATTTGAATTGGTTGGTTCTGGTATTTTGGGTTCAATGATAGCTGACTGGGCCTGGTTTTGGGTTGGCTTTTTTTGGCTGAGGGTATTAGGCTGGTTGCTCTTTATGTTTGGCTTGGGTCCTTTGGTTTGGGCTTTTTTCCATTCTGCTTCTTGATTGTCCCTCACTTTCATCGATCGTGGTCCCAAGACTGAGGTTTTTTGTTTTGTTGACGTTGATTCTTGAGGTACCCGTGAACTCCCTGCAATACCTGACAGATTCTGTGGAACCTCTTCTGCTTCTTCATGTAAATCCGACAAGGCGTCGAATCTAGACCCATTTGCTTGCACCGAATTAGGACTATTGAGGGGACCGATTGTGGTCTTTGCGATCTAGGTCTTCCTCTTTTAGGAGCAAAAATCCAATCAGGCTTCACGGGTTTGTTGGCCATGTTGTTTCCTTTACCACCCATCCCCATCTCCGACGCACCAACTTCCGATGTCCACGCCGGCTTATCGTCGGAGTCATCCTCCACCTCTATTCCCGGTGCTTTCTCCCCTTTAAAGGGGCAAGTCTCTTCCATATGCCCAACCCTTCCACACTCCAAACAAATACATGCGAGATTCTCATATTGGACTTTTTAGATTCGATTTCGCAATTCGAATTGTGAACAGAACGGCTGAGTGAGATCCACCTCCACCGCAATTCTGGCATATTGCCCTCTTGTTTTAGCCGCCGTTTGATGGTCAATATGAACCACTTTCCCCAAAACCTGACATATTTTTCGGAGGAATCCCTTATTATAATAGTGCACCGGCAAGCCGGGTAATCTCGCCCACACCGTTGTAGAGCTAATCACATGTGTTGCTGCATCAAATGAGGTATCCCATTGCTGGATATACAAGTACGAATCCCCAACTAACCACGGTGCCTTCTGCAAAACATCAACCATATCCTCCTTCTTGGTGAATTTTGCCAACACATATCCTCTTTCTAGATCCATAGTTGCAAACCCATCTACATAGTACCACATCGTATACAACCTATTACACAAGGCTGAATAAGTAAGGCGATTCCCCATTACCTTAAGTATCACAACATTTTCCCAAGGTTGGGCTAATAAGGCTTCCACCTTATCTGAGATGACGACCCAGGGCATTTGTCCATCCTTTATCAATACTACTTCCTGATGCAGATCCTCAATCTCTATGTCCTCAGTCTCAAACATCGGGCAATCCCTATGCCGTTGACCACGGAGCATCTTATCCTTGAAACTCATCGGGGCCGGATGAGGGTTAGAATTTTCAGAAGCAATAGTTCTTCCCCCAAAAAAATCCCATTGCTTCTCTTTCACACGGGCTTTTTTTGTGGAACGAAGGTCGATGGACGGTGATGTGGATGCTTTTGAATTTTGGTCCGATTGGAGTGGGGGGAAATGACTGTTATCAGCTGCATGTTCTGGTTGTAGGTTCAGATCGGACGGTGGGTTGCTGATTGGTGGTGGGTTTGGTGGCGGGTTTGGTTCAGGGGGTGGGTCTGGTTGTGGGTTCATTTTGGGTTGGGAGCACTGGTTTCTTTTACATTGGGGTAGTGTGATGAACCTACAACCAGACCGTCGCCGTTTCATAAATCCCTAATTCTTCCCATTCGAATATTACAATTTGAATCTAAAATACATTTTCAATTAAATTTTTGTTTTCCTAAATCCAGCTGTATCTTCCAAGAAGGTAAATCAAGCCTTCACGTTCCCAGAAACCAGGGGAGATTCTCGTTGAAACTTTCCAACCCAACCATTTCACTTGTGTGGAATAAACGTGCTTAAAAAAGAAAGAAAGGAATACCCTTTTGATCTCCCTTTAACCACATGTTTTCAATCGAGTTTGAGCCATAAGATTCAATCTTGACATCATTATGGGTTTTGATTATAAGTGGAAGGTCATTACTTTGGGAGAATAAGTTTTGGGTTATCTTTGATTTAGTTATACAGAGAGATTTTCTTGCTAGCTAATCTTCCAGGTGGGGTAGTGTGATGAATTCTTATATAGATCCATGGGGTTGTATTTCCAATTGAGAGGTTTTTGATTGTTCGTGTGGTGTTTGATCTATTTTCTCGGGATTTATCTGTTTGATGTATTTGTCATTGCCGGAGAGGAGGTTGGGCTTGTGAACAAACGGGTGGTCATTCGAGGGTGTTTTCAGGCCATTTTCTCTGCCATTTGAGCTGGAAGTCTCCTCATTTTGTATCCCACGAGATAGATAGGATAAGGAGTTCTACCAATTGCAAGGCAATTAATTTTCAGTATTTTTAATTGAGACGCATTCAGTTTTTTTTTTTTTTTTGGGTTTTTAGATAATTAGTTGAATCTTGGAAATAAGTAATCGGAGATGGGTTCCTCCCAAGATTCGGCGGCTTCATTTGTTGGTGATGGTCGCCGGAAAATGGCCGACGGCTGTGTTCCTCTCTTTTCCTTTTTTTTTTTCACTTTTTGTTTTATTAATTTTTTTGGGGGTCAAACTTAGTGGGTCCTACAAACAGACTTAAATGAATATAAAAATTGAGAGTTGACGCAAAGTTGATGCAATCCGTTATCTCTTTAAATTTTCTGTTAAATTGACCAAAATTGATGAAAAAAATATTTTAGGGGATTGTTTTTTCCAATTAAAAACTCATGGTGACTAGATCTTGCTACCCTCAGACGAAAAGTGCGTTTTGTCCCTTTTTTTTTTCCTTTAACTTCCAACAATTTTTTTGATGTGACCTGTTTTCTTGTAGTAATGGCACTTAACATTTGTATACCTAGACTTGCTTTTATCTCTTCCTTTTTCACCCTGACCTCTATCTCGATGTCTCCCCCATGCTCTGTAACCAAGATCCCATTCGGTGAATTTGAATCTTGAGTTCTTATTCTCATCTCCTCATAGAGAATATCATTTTTAGCATAATTAAATGACATAATGTAATTAGGAGCATAATTAGTTTGTGAGACCCGAAATGTCTCCCAAGAGTCAGACAAGGTATTAAGCAATCACAAACCAAGCATCTCATCTTCATATTTAACTCCAACATTAGACAGTAGGTCCAAAACACCTTGAAACTCATTCACATGATGAGAAATTGGTATTCCCTTAGGCTCTGTTCGTTTGCATGGCATTTGGGGCTTGGATTTGGAATTTGAGCCCCCAATGCCAAATACGGCGTTTGGCTTATAAAAGAAAGTATGGAATTGGCATTAGTCCAATGCCAAAAGGCTTCCAATACCACAATTTTAATTCCGGGCTTGAAGTTATTATTTGGGATTCCAAAATTCTGTGAAGTTGAGCCAAACGTGGGTCGTTTCCGGGTCAATAGCGGGTTATAAGCTATTCGGATCTCCCCACTTTTTAAAAATTTATACGGCCTAATTTCTTTTCTTTTTTTTTCTCCTCTCATCGACGGACGACTCTGAAGAACGACTTCTCCATCTCCACCGGTGGCGCAACCATTTTTTCCGGCTCCCCACGGTTTCCTTCTTCTTCATCATTCTGTAGCGACCACCTTGTATGTGTTCCTCTTCTCCTTTTTCTTTTTTGAGTTCCGATGATTTGAGGGATGGATTAGGTTTTCATATAGATTTAAGCAAAAGATCTTTGATTCAATTCATTCCCCCCTTATTCGAATTTTGCCACACTCAAATTCCCATTCAGCACCGATCTTTTGTTTGTAGTCTACTCGAAGTAGGAATCCTAATGAAGGGGCAAGCAACAGGCGGAGTGGAGGCTTCCAATGGTTACGGTGTCAGATCTGGGCGGAATCGGCTACTTCGATTTGATTTTAAGGGATTGGCGGTGTTGTGAATCAGACCTGAGAAGAGTCGGAGTCGGAGGCGGAGGCAGATGCAGAGGCAGAGGCGGAGATAGTTGTCCGCCGCAAGAGCATCCCTAGTCTTGGGATCCACCTGATGAACGTGAGTAGTTGTTTTTGTTCTTTCCCTTCTCCTCTATTTGGGTTATTTCATTTGATTTTTGGGTTATCATTTGATTTTTTTTGTTCTGCTCTTTTGCTTGTATTGAAGGACGGGGTAATCGTGAATCCTGACAAAGTTCCATACGAGGAAGAGAAAGTAATCCAGAATCCGGTGTTTAACTAAGATGACACTGGTCATGATGGAGATGCACTTGAATATGAGGGACGTCCCCCAATTTTTGGTTTTATTTTCGGGCCAGGAGAGGTTATGGTAGCTGTTAATCATACAAATCCTGGTGAGTTGTTTTCATTTTCCTCTGATTGATTGATTCTGCCGTTTTATTTTTATCGTTTTAGCACATGAATTTCATTTCCCATAAAGTTTGTAAACAAGGGAAATATGCTTAAAACTATTTCAACCATTAGAATATCATCATCATTAATAATCATCATCATTAATAAGTGTCTCCCCGGGGAAAATGAGAAGGTTGGCCTTCCCGCATACAAGTTGGTGTTACTTGGTTTCACCTTGTCTTGGGAGCAGTATCGGAATTATTAATCATGTCTAACACATTTAAATGACCCTAGCAATTCTGTCTATCCAGGATTTGTGCCCTACATTACCACGCTCGATTCTCACATAATTGCCACCGTGACTGGTGGTGATGAATGGAGCTGCACATCGGCTTTGTCTGATTTGAAGGGGAAGGTAGTTTATGCTAATATTTCCTTGACATTGTTTCTTTGGATGGTCTCCCTGGGATTTGTCATCTTAATTCCCAGGATGTGGACATTGCTTGTGTTCTTATGCCTATGTTCCTGAAATCGTTAGGAATTAGAATTTATGTGTTACCAATGAGATCTTGTAGTCAAAATGGATAAGGTTGTACTCCGCAAACTTCTAACTCCTAACTGGCAGCAGAATTTCAAGAAGATTATGTCTGGGATTTATCTGGGTGAAATCGTTCGTAGAGTATTGTGCAGGATGGCTTTCTTTTCTGGTGAATCGTCCCCCCAAAACTGAAAAGAACCATTAATATTAAGGCATTTAAACTAACCATCTATGAATTCTTTTCCCCTGTATCTTTCTTATGAATTCTTTTGGTTTTCGGAATTCTAGTATTCAATCGAGGGTGAAGGCAAATCGAAGCAAGGATTTCTCGCTGAGGAAGAGCGGCGCCTCTCCCACCTAAAGTTAATATCTTTTTTTGTCAACTTGATTACATTGTACCAGTTATTTCCTTTCCCCTTCTACCTTAAAAGATTGTCGTTTTTCTCATATCGTCTAAGGAAATTCATATGCTTTGCTCCTCAACAATCAAACAATCAATTAACGTTTTGTGGATTCTTTGATTTCGTGGCATGAACATATATCGGGGTTGTTCTGTTAATAAAAAAGCATCTGATACCATTCTTCAGCAAAAATAAAAAGCATCTGTTACATTAAAAAATAGTTTTTTTAGAAGACCTTCCCATACTTCACTCTATCTAATAATATTGTGATTCTTGATTCGATTAGTTTCTCCGTTCTTTGCCTGATCCTAGCTCGAATTTTATGTATACCGAATGCATGTGTTTGACTCAAACAATACGGGGTCGTTCCATTCTTCTGCTTCTAGTAGGCTGTTTTTGAGGTATTAGGCAAGTTCAGACTGGAGTTTAACTGGTCCAAGAGTTGCAGTTGTGTTCACTGTTTTCAATGTACTAATGACTTCCATCAACCCATGTTTAACAATATGTCCTGCCGTTTATTGGTATCAGAAATCTGACATTTATGTTGCATTCATATTTCTTTTAAAGTTGAAACTGGCTTGCTGATCAGGTACTCATTTGTTTGAATTCCTAGTGTGTGATGCGTTGTCCAGTTATGTACCAAACACCCAGAGCTTTTAGTTTAATAGCTCATTTTGTTTCATGCAGAGTTATAATACCTTGGTCATTATGTAATCTGTAACACTTTAAATTTCTAGTGGCTTCATACTTTTTTGCATGTTTCTCGTTGTGCTTTGTAGATTGTTTTTCTCTCATACTTCCCACATTTTGTTGCAACTTTATCTGCTGTGTGCACTAACTCTATTCTACATTGTTTCAGTGATAAAACGAACAGAAGAAGATTTTTTAGGAGTAACTCTTCCAAAGATAGGAAAAATGTCATCTACAACCTAAACAAAAATGGAGTTCAAACTGCAGAATTTCATTTTTAAAGCTGGTCTTCGGTATTCTGATAGTAGGAGGGTTTTTGGCACTCTTACACTTGCAATCCGTTCAGGATACTCAGTATGCAACCAGCTCCAATTCTCGGTAGGTTATTCATCTTTTCTCTTTTGAGGATATATAATCCTCTTTGTCTGTTAGTTAATCGAACTTGATTCTTACTCATGTGAACTTTGTATATTCTTAGATTATTTTAATTGTTTTATTTTCCTTTAAACAGTTAGTGGCCTGGTCATCAAACTATACACCATTTGTGAACAATCTCCTTCTTCTGTTTTATCTTTTGGTTTTTATTGCATGTCCATTGTTTCACTAGATTTTCTATTACTTATATGTCTCAGAATCAGTTCAAGATTGATCAGTAGATGGAGACAAGATCTAGACAGAGAAGCTGG